ACAACGAACATTTAAAAGCGATAAATATGGACGACAAAACGAAGGACAGACAAAACTAAAGACTATTTTTCGAAAGAGAACGAAAATGTCAAAGACATTGATCGATGGCAAAATAACAGCTAGACACGTTTAAAGTTTGGGAATAAGGGGGTTCATTTTATTCTCAGGCCACCCAAATTGAGCGAAAGACATGCCAATTCATTTTAACGATTTCTAGAGCGTGCGTGCTGGGTGAAGTTGTCGGAAATTCTAACAAATATATTCAGTCAAAAATAGAAGCGGTTTTTATTGTGCTTCCGTCCCGTTGACGAACGTATCGTTCTTCTCAAATGTTTTGTCCTTCACAGAAAGGCGAAAACATTTTTGAAATTCTAAAGTTGAAATAGACATGTATTTATAAATACCTTTAAACAAACATTCAAAATTCGAACGTAAGTGAATCTAACAGATTCGACTGGAATTCGAACCTGCTCTCCGATTCCTCAATCCGAGACGCTAACTTGAACATAAAACTAAACTATATTACATAGTTTTCCATGGTCATGTTTGCGTTCGTTGTGTTCTTTAGAACGGTATTAGGTGTCGAATAAGTCCTCGTTATTTGTCACCTCCATTTGGCATTTTTACGACCTCATAACGTCTAACTGCAAAGTTTTACCAAATAATGTTGACGTACTTTTGAATATTCACTGTACATGATGGCGGTAAAAAGATTCTCCGTGTGAAAGTGGCCGATGACGCAAAAAAAGGTTGGGAACCTCTGCCCTAGCAAACTTCGCCATCATAATTTAATTCTTTAAAGGACAGTAAAGAAAAAAAATACGTTTCCCTTTCTCCAGTTGTAAAAAGAAATATATTTGTATTTCTATAAAATAAGCATTTAATAACAACGAACATTTAAAAGCGATAAATATGGACGACAAAACTAAGAACACACAAAACTAAAGACTATTTTTTGAAAGAGAATGACAATGTCAACGACATTAATCGATGGCAAAATAACAGCTAGACACGTTTAAAGTTTGGGAATAAGGGACTTTCTTTTTATTCTCAGGCCACCCAAATTGACCAAAAAACATGTCAGATTATTTTTTTTCATGTGAAAATGGGAGGTGATGTAAAAAGTGTTGAGAACCCCTGATTTAGAAGCTCACAATACGAAGTTGACATCTTCGGTTGATTCTCTTGTGAGCAACCATGGATTCTGCCTTTGTAGAGAATTTTTTCTTTTTTTCATTTTTTTTTCGAATACTTGTTTCCAAGTCTCTCATCTGCGAATGTTGAAGATTATGCGCACCTGTAATAATTCTATCATGTATTATTGTTATGCTGATTGTAATATTAGCCTTTTCCTTATAAACAAACATTTAACATTCATTAATCGAGTAGTAATTGCTAATGTGGTTTTAAATTCATAAAATCAATTTCAATAAATGAATATTCTCAAGTCAAGTAAATGTTATCGTTCTTTCTAGTATTGATGACTTTTTCTAAGTTTGATTTGAAGTAATGGGGAGCATTAATATCTTGATAATGTCTTCGAAATATGTTATCATTATTTTATATTCGAATAGAAAACAATTGTTTTTTTTTCAAACCTGTATATGTTTTTATGAACTTTTTTTATATTCTATTAGGCACAATTTTCTTCAGAGACTCACTCGCTATATATATATATATATGTGTGTGTGTGTGTGTGTGTGTGTGTGTGTGTGTGTGTGTATAATGTGTAACAGCAAAATTGTCTTTTCCCACAAAAGAGATAGAGCGCATGGAAATATAAATATAAAATTGGATATTGAAGTCAACACTTATAGGCGCCAGGCTGTTTCATGCTTGGCGCAGTCGTCAGGCCGCGAATGTTGGATTTTTCCTCGACTATTTATTTATATATATGGGTCAGTTGTGCATTGTGGGTAATCTATCCTGGCGGTTATTTTTTGGGGAGTGGCTTGTTTCTTTGTTTATTTATTTGGGTTAATTTAAGTAAAATAAATTACCCCAAATAAACAAACAAACAAGCCACCCGCCAAAAAATAACCGCCAGAATAGATTACCCACAATGCACCACTGACCCATATATATGAATAGCCGAGGAAAAATGCAACATTCGCGGCCTGTTGATTGCGTCTAAACATGGAACAGCCTGTCGCCTCTGATTTTTGACTTCAGGGTATTTTCGGGTATGATCGATTTCATCATGATACGTCTATTAACCTTTGAGAGTAATTATAGATTCTTATTCTTCAAAGTAAAGTCTAAAAGTGTTATAAACACCTCGGAGATTTCCAGTAAGGTCTATTTAATCATTTCTAAGATACAACGATTTAAAGCTTAATTTAACAATTGGACAATTTTGCTGTTACACGATTTGGACAATTTTACTGTTACACCAGTTATGTGTGTGTGTATATGTTCGTGTGCCTCCGCGTGTGTGTGTGTGTGTCTGAGGGAGAGAGATGAGGGACAGTCGAAAGAAGAAATAGGAACTCTTTATAAGTCTAAATGACGCATACATATATACATTATCACCCGAATACCGCACAGACCACTAGAATTATGATGCATATACAAACGTACATTATACACACGAATGCGGCTTGACTAGTCAAATGCACGTGAAGATTACTTAAGTCAAGTAACTGTTATTGCTCTTTCAAGTATTGATGGTTTTTTTTTCTATATCTTTTGTTTCAAGTAGTGTATAACATCAGTATGTCATTATTTTCTATTCAAGTTTCATGCGCTAACCATTTCAGTTGTCGCCGTTGCCGAAAGAACTCAGTTAAGGTGATTTCTGTTACCTTGCACACGTCTTTGTGACACTGTTGCGCCAATCCAAGAGGTTCGAATATGGATAATCCCTCTTGTGACTTACAGCTTATATTCGCTCGAAGCCATTTTAATCATTGATCTGCGTAATCGATTATGTTCAGATGAGAGTTTAGATATTTCTGAACGGGTTAAGCGCCATATATGACATTCATGTAGTCTTGATATGGCGACGCTATTTCAAGACATGACCTGAATTTTCAAGTGTACTTTTTCGGTTAATGTTTTATCTTTGTCGTAACATCCAGTGTTTGGCGAAACTAGTTCTACCACAGCTAATTCTATGTTCAATTTTGTTATCTCCTATTTACATTGTTCAGATTTTTGCCCTCATTTTTATTGTTGTGGCCTTGTTAGGGCCAGAAATAAAGACACAAAGAAAGGAATTGAGTTAAACAAATAAAATAAGAGAAACAGTAATACAAACATATAAAAACGAGAGTGTTACAGCAAGAATGTTCGGCCCGACTGTCAAAGATGGCTGCTTGAAACTTCCCTCTCCAAAAGGCAGTACCTGCTCCTATTTATAGCTGGGAGAATCCATGCGTACATGGGTAAATTACCGTAAGATTTATTGTCATAGTAACAAAGTTTCGGCCGTTGTACTTCAGATGATATACATTGGAATTTCAAATCAATCTCTTTATTTAGTTCAAGAGTGTAGGTTGTTCTAATTCCACGTGCATGCCTTTTTAGATATCTCTGTTTCAGTTAATTCCATCTCCAAGTTTCTGTTCACTTCTGCTGTGGTCAGGTATTGAACTAACATTGGTTCAAATCACTGAATTACATCAAGCAACGTTTTTTATCCACTAGACACAGTGTGAGCGCAATACCTGACCATAGCAAAACTGAACAAAATCTTGGAATGCCGGGTTACTAAAAGAATAAACTGAAACGGAGATATACGAACCGATCTATGCAGCGATGTATTTGACGTGTTTACTATTTAGGAAATTTCACGTCCTGAACTTTTAGGATGGATTCAGGGTACGCGACGTCACTGGGTAAAATAAACCCGGTGAGAAATCACATCATTGTCTTACTTTTATTCATCTTTCTGTTTATTGATTTAAACGGTACAGGTCTGCATACAGGCCGTTTGTTCGAAGTCAAGATTACAGATGAGTCAAATGTCTCTCCCATCTAAATCAATCTTTTGTAATCTTTCAAGTAGCTTTATAGAATTCAACTCAATAATATACCCTTGCGTAATCTATGCAACATAGGTCTGAATTTGTAGTTTTCATTTTAATGTGCATTTATTGTTCCGGCATCTTGTAATATTCTACACAATAATTTTCGTATTTCGTGCATTATTCCGCCACGAATTATATTCAATATAATTCTAATTTTTAATTATTTTGTTAATCAGGCACATTGTTCGATGCATCACTTTTTCTACTCTGTTATTTAAAAATTTTACGAAACGATGGTAAATCTCAGGATCTTTCATAATAGACGATGTTTCATCAGACGAACTAGTTACTAAAAAAGGCTATGAAAAGTACGATGGTTGGCTAAGAAGTACATAGGCTGACAACGAAAGAATGATGCTAGAGCTGTGAAAACTTTATGCATTAATTTCAACACTTATTAATAATCGCATTATGCCTTAGCAAGTAAAGTGACGTCTAACTTTTCAATCTGTTGGACAAAAAATCATCAACAGCAGATAGAACGTCATCATCAGAGCGATACTGGTTCCTGGCCAAGTGTTTTTTCATGTTTGTGAACAGACCAGAAGAATAGTGTGGGTGACGAACCAGTTCAAAGCCACAACCAAGGATATTTATACTGGAGCATTGACCTAATGACAATGCCTTGGGAAGATGAATAGTGGTATAACGTCGCCCGCACTAATAATCACTGCAAAAATTTTCGTAATCACCATTAGACTCATCCAACTCTTTCCGAATCCTCTACACTGTCCTCAGATTGACACCCAAACACTCTGAAATGTTCGTATTAGTGCTTCCGGCGTGAATGCCAAGCAGTACAGCATACCGTTTTAAAATTTCAGGCAAAGTGAATTGTGTAATGGTTTTCTTTTTCTTACAGACGATGCCCGACTAACCCTAATATACGATGCAGTCGACAAAATCCAAAACGAACAACGCGCATGCGCGAAATTAAAATATAAAGCGGCGACCATTTAGTCATCGCACTCTGTATAGATAGATAGATCGATAGATAGAAAAAACAAACCAACCGAGATAGATAGATAGATAGATAGATAGATAGATAGATAGGCAGACAGAAACAAACCAA